CATCTCACGCAGCCAAAGGCTTAATATCAAACTAGTCGGTGAGTCATGAACAGCTTCACAATAGGACACAATTTCTCCTCTTTACCTTCCAGACACAAGAAGTAACTCAACAGCTTCCTCCACTCTCTGCCTCAATGTGTCTTCACTGGCCAACAGTAAAAGTAGCTGAGCAGGAGAAAGCTCGAGAAGCATGCCGGTGATCTTGCTGGCCAGAGACTGAAATAGAGTAAAAGGGAATGTTAAGTTGATCTAAGATCTTACTAACAATTCTTGACACTGTCTGCCATGTTGTTCTCATGATATTAACTCAGTGAATTCCTCTTAAATCAAACAACATCCCTTGTAAGATCTCTGCGCTTGCTAATTATTTTTAGTGTAATTTTGTATTTAGCTATTTCGTCCTTTACTTTCTCATACTTCCTCGTTAGTGTGTTTTTGTTAAGTTTGTTATCGTTTTTCTTCGTCAGTAACACATATTTTGCGCGTTTTTCATACCATCTAATGAGTGGTTTTGAGTCAAAATAGCCCCCGTAACAATAAGACATAAGTCGTTTTCTTACAGGCTGCAAGGCATGGACTCGAGGATACAGCCTCTCTCCTAAAGACTGCCTGTGGTACGGCAGTGGGTCACCATCGGGATCCTCTCCATCACCAGTGCTGCTGCCGCCACTGAAATGAAAAGCTCGTGCATCGGCTGACAGCTGTCTTCTTGCATCACGTTCACGATCACGATCTCGCTTGTATCGGTAACTTGTTGCGCGTCTGATACGCTGAGCTATACCTGTTGGTAGATCAACACATCGTCAGTGTCTATCACTTAGAGAAAGTTGTCTAATGCATCACGTGATCCCGATCACGCTTGTAATGGTAATTGTAGCACTTGTGATGTGCCGAGATTTATCTGGTGATACGTAATATTTTAACTTTTTCAACACAGAGAAAACGGCCGTGTATCAAACTAAAAGGGAGAATTGTTGATCAGCTTCAACCGGTAGATAACAGTTATTCTGTCTTATAAAATGTTCAGTACAGAACAGAGTTCTAATGATATTATCGAGACAGACAAAGGTTTAGTCAGGAGTAAAGAGCCCTTCTTTCATGTAATTAGGTCCTCTTCACCGATCCAGCAGAGTAACATCCGCTACTTCTTGGGAACGTTCTTAAGACGTCATCTGGTAAAATGGGGTCAGTTATTTAAGAGTAGCGATATTGAAGACCAAATCCAGCCTTACTTCTGCTATTATCAAGAGCTGGCAGCTTTTCTCCAGAAAGGAACGCTTCACCAACTGCAGTGTAATAACTTCTCGCCACACCGCTCCCCTCCCCTGGTTCGTCCTTGAATGTCACCTTAACACGGTGTATAGTCATTGGTCGAGACCTGGGACAGCGCCGGCCAAACTGTGTGTTTAACTGTCTGATGGTTTGTTGAATGAGAGAGGCACGGTCGCGTTCAACCTAGGAGTATGAAAAAAGAACTATTAGGGTCAATTCGTGTGGCTTACATGAAATACTTAGACTAAACACATACGCGAAAGTTAATGTAGCTTAAAGCGACTGACTGATTGACTTCCTCGCAGACAGCCTGAACGGTTATTTGCCTGACTGACTACCTGATAGACTGCCTGTTTGCCTCTCTGCTTGCCTGATTGACAAACTGACTAGCATGCTAACAGATTGACAGACTGACAAATGACCTCCTACTTTGGATTCCACTTTAAGAAAAAGTCTCGTACCTCAATAGTCAAGTCACGCTGGGTGGAGTTCCTAAGCCGCTCCATCTCTCGCCTAAACTTGGTCTCTTTCACATCAAACCTGCCTAACTCGTTCAATACAGACGAAGGCTCGGATCCAACGTCTTCCAGAAATACCCGGCCGAATAACTCCACACACAACCTCCAGCGGCCCAACAGGGAGTTAGCAGAAGTTCCATTACAGATGACAGGTTTGGAAGAAGAGGTGGATGCCGTGGGATTAACAGTAGATTCGGAAATTTTGCCACCTGACGTTGAGGGTTCAACTGAAGACTCACTTTCTGTCACTAGAATCATGAGAATTCGAGAGTAGTTTTAAGTTATGTCTAATGTAATCTTCTCAGCAAAAACGTACTCCCAGCTTCTTTAGGGGCCTGCATCTATTGTTATTAACGTGCGTCAATTGAGAAAGTCTGCGTGTTCTTCACGATAAGAAATCTTCGACAGCCACTTAAAGCTCCGAAAAAGAGCATTTAATTACAGTACTTGAATATACGGGTATTTTGGACACACTAGCTTGTCCTTTATTCAGCTATTTTCTCCATGCACCCATACCAGGTGGAAAGACAGACTGACAATGTACTTGTTTTTGGTGACACAGCGAAACCTGTATTAAACAGGGTGGAACTTCAAATTGTGAATGGTAGAAAAGGAACTATCAGCTTAAAAAGCTGTCGGCTAAAAGGTTTCAAATAACAAATACGCGCACTCTTGGCGTCCGATGAGTATAAGC